TTTGTAGTCAGATGGATAGCCAATTAGTCGAAAACAGTTAACCTTGATATGTCCAGTCTTATGGCAAAAATCACATTTCAAAAACTTGTGGTATTCAGTTCTAAAATGACCTTTCATATGGCAAAAGTCACAAAAGGCGTTGGGATTATATGGCTTCTTAAATTTCTGATTACCAGGAGTAGACTTTGAAGTAAACATGGCAGTTGGAGTCATATTTTCAAGAGGTACCTTGCTTGAACCTACAACTATTTTTTGACTCTCATCCTGGTTTATCATGGCAAAAGCCTGATTGACATTAGGTAGGTGTGGCATCAACAAAATTTGACTTCTGGTCGGACTGTAGTTGTCATTGAGTCCCATAAGGAACTGCAACATCCTTTGGTATTGAAAATGTTCAAAAAAATCTCTAGACTTAGGACAATTGCAGGAGGGAGGGGGCATAATTGAATCATATTCATCCCATAGATCCTTAAGTCTAGAGTAGTAAACTGAAACAAAAGAAACTCCCTGAGCAAGAGTATAAATCTCCTTATGTAGCTAAAAAATTCTAAAGTTATTTACCTTATTGAACCTCTCTTTCAAATCTTCCTAGATCAAGTGTGTATCGGAACAGAAAAGCACTCCACTATGCAAATCTCTGTTTACATTACACATAATCCAGGAAACCACGATTGCATTGCATCGATCCCACAATCGAGCTAAAATTCCAGTAATTCGATCTCGCTTAATTATTCCGTCGATGAATCCAATATTGTTCTTCCCAAGCAAAGCCAACTGCATAGCTTTACTCCACAATGTGTAATTATCAATACAAGTGAACTAGATGCCTATATTAAGAGATCCTGGCCCATCTAATGGATGTAAATACAAAGGATGCATATGATTAATGGGGTTAACAGCCATGGAAGTGTCCATCTGAGCTCCTGCAGGGCTACCAGAGGTATCCATGGAAGAAAAAGAAAGAAGAAAGGAAAGGAAACAAAGAATTCACAAAATCACAAGCTCGAATTGCTCTGATACCATGTTAAGTTTTCAGATCTAGAGAGGAAAGATGAGAGAATATGTAAGAACTAACAATGTAATTGAATCTTATCATGGAGAACATTTACTTCAGAATGAATTCAATTGCGTACAGAATGTGTGATATGCATTGCTATATATACAATGCTAACCGACTCAACATACCAACTAACACTCTAACCAATTTACTGATTTGCCCCTACTAACTAACTAATTGGACTTTATCATATAACTAACTACACTGTATAATATACAATTGTAAGTCTAATTCATCAGTTCACATTTACACATTTGTTTAACTCCTTTACACTTTCCCCAAAATCTTTTCCTTGCTGCATTTCTTCTTCTCCTTTGTTTTTAGGTTGATCTTTGTCATCAGTCAAATGATGTATATAGCCCTCAAGAAGCTTTGTTGGAGAAGAACAAGCCAAATTCAAATGCTGATAGTCGCCGAAGATGTTCTTTTCATGTTGTCAAAATTATTTTTGTTGTTCTAGTTAGCCTGTTAGTTTTTCTGTCTCCTCCGTACATTCTCCCTATTTTCCCTTTCTCCTCCTTCAACCATCACAAAACTACCAATCTCAGCACCACCAGATCTGGCCAAAAATCTCTTCGTTGTCGTAAGTAGATCCTCCAAATTAACCCTCACCCGCCTCATTCTCCCCTCCACTTACTAGCACCGTCTCTCTCACTCTACAACGAACCCGTTGTCTCCGACCAACACCACCACCATCGACCTCTCCCTCTGCTAGCGAATCAATGGACTCAAGGAGGTTTCAATGCCAAGATCTCTTAAAGATGATGACAAGAGTATGGAAAGAAAAAGAAGGGGTCGGGCATGGAGATGGCTGCAAATGAAGGTGGAGTGGGTGAAGAAAATGGAAACTTTTTAATTAATTTTTTTATTATTTTATTCTTTACTAATATTTTTAAAACTAAAATATAATACTCACTCACCTTAAGGTGTGTGAAGTCACACACTTTAACCAACTCAGCCATCTTAAAGACACATAAATTTGGTCAATGGTCAGAAGGGTTAGATAAATTGTGTTTTATTGAATTCAAGGGTCCAAATGACAAAGAAGTAAGTAAAAGGATCCAAAATACAAATCGATACAAGTATAGCGGTCCACCAGACCATTTCACTTTTTATGATAATTAGAGTGTTACATATTTATCTAAAGTCACTCATATATAAGAGGCTAGCTACGATAACAACTCTTGAACGATATGTTTGTTTTCAAATAAGAGTGTTTTCGATATTTTATGATTTATGTGCTTTAAGGAAATTATATGTATCTAGCTACTTTATATGTGTACCTTCCATTATTGAACAAAATGATCAGCATATGTATTGCTTTTTATCTTTGTGTCAAGCAAAATAATTGAGCTTTTCCTAGTCATGTTGATCCATCATCTTCTTTTATTCTAGCCTTTTCGGTTCAATATGCATTTGTTTGGTTTTTTTTTTTAAAGATAAACACCACAAATCTCATTAGTTTAGAATTAACTTATTTTTTATTTACGTTAGCTTTTAATATTGCATTTTCTATCAAAATAGGTATGTCGTATATATATTTGTCGCATTCAAATACATATATTTGATGTACATTTAATTTAAGCTGGACACAGACTAAAACGTGTGTTTAATTAAGGATGATAATCAAAATGCTTAATTTAAGGAGGAAATCAATCTTTTAGCAACTTTTGAGTATATCTAATTTAACAACTTCTAAAAGAATAAAAAAAAGTTCTAATTTCTTCCATTTATTTTCGAGCAACAACAAAGTGAGCAATTTTTTCCCCATAAATTTGAATTTATTTTTCTAAATTTCAAGATTTTTCTTTTCAATTTTTCATGTTTAGAAAACACTATGTATCACACACTCTAGTTTGTTGTTACTTCGTTGAATATTCTAATAAAAGTATATACATGCTCTTTTACTAATGTATCTAAAGTAAGTATTTGATTCATGCACCTAATTTCATTAGATGTATTTTTTGTGTTTTTAAATTATGAACAGTCAAATATTTTACACATACCTGTATTCAACACATACTTAATGACTTAGATGGATTAATTATGTACTAGATACATGTATTTGAAACTTGTTATGTGTATGTATATGACTACTCAATATTTATTCTTTTCAATGAAATTTGAATAGATAAATGTGTGCTTTTGCTTCGCTGTGTCTTTATTATTGCTAACTATACCGACGATAAATTTGTGATTGCCGTAATTTCATAAAGTGTGATCTACAATGATCTCGTTGAAATATGACCAGATATATGACAGAATCATCTCAGATACACTGAAGGAAACACACTAGAGCATGACAGAAAGAACTCAAATATATATTGACTAACATGCGTAGATACATGACAATAAACCACTCATCTTTATTTAATAGAAAATACAAATATATGGAATAGTTTAACTAGATATATGACAGAACCATCACAGATACACTGAATAAAAAACGGACTACTTACCTTCTTATTACAGAGATTTTCCATACTCTTCATTGTCTTTCCTCACTACTCACAGAAAATAAAACATAAAATAGGGCCAAAAACAATAATACATTTATCATTCATGCCCTAGATCCTGATCTAGGGCACAAGGAGCCAGAAAAACAGCCCTACGCTTGCCACATTCAGGGGCAGACCCATGAAGTCAATTTTGGGTGCTCGAGCACCCATTGACTCCGGAAAAAAATTTGTATATATATATATATATATATATAGAAAATATGATAAATACGTTATTAAAAAAAAAAAAAAAAAGCACCCATAGAACAATAGCAGTCGTGGGTGCACTGGTTAACAACTGAAAAATAACGCGCGTTTTTTAATTAGTTTAGGGTGACTAACTTTTTCTTTCTTTTTTATTTTTAACTTCTTTTTTTTTTGGTCTAAATTCGGAGCTCAAAGCTCCTTTTTATTTAAATAATTCTGTACAAAAATTGGGCCAAACAAGCCCAAATAAAAAGGAAACAAAGAAAAGGACAGAACAAGAACGTCTGGACTCTGGGCCCTTTCCATTTTTTCTATGCTTTAAAACATTTTCCACTATCCACTTTTATGGGATTTTTTCTTTTAACAAAACAAGGAAATCATTCTTCTTCTTCTTCTTCTTGTTTCAAAGAAAAAGCAGTCAGCCCAACAACAAACTTCAAGCTTTTTTCTTTTCAAAATCAAAATACAAAAGCAAGGTAATAAGATTTGATGTTTGATTAAAGTTAGATAATGAAAAAAAAGGGTTAGGGAAATTAGGTTTTGAGATTTTCATTGCTTATGGCTAGTACTCTTTAAGTCTTAATTCTTAAAATAGATTCCACATACTTTTTTTGTTACTTGATAAATAGATTTAGACTTTAGAGTCTCACATATTTAGTGTTTTGTGATTAAAAATATATTTTTTTGAATACTTTTGAAATAATTTTTTTTCTTACCAACTTACTTGATTCAAAAATTAAATTTTAGGATGTATACAAATAACAAATTGTGCAATTGAAAATTTTGTGCTCATTGACTCATATATTGCTAATTATTGCTTGTGGTGTTGAAAGATCAAATAGATATATTAATTGATGTTTGGGTTGTTGATAGAAAGTTATAGATTTCAATAAAAATTAATTGAATTATGTGAATTAATTCTATGATAAAATTGATTTTTTTGCAGAAATTTATCTTTGTAAATTGAGATGGATAAGTATGTCACAAGATCGAAAATTGGGCATCCAAGTTCTAGCTCTACTCATCCATCTACCGCTTCAACCATAGCTCCAAAAATTCAAAGGAAAACATTTATTTCAGATGTTGATTTAGAATCTCCTGAAGCTGATCCGAAAATTATAAAGCCCATTGCAGAATATAATCCTAATATACGTGATGATATTAGGAGATATTATATTCTTAAAAAGCCTTGCTAACCTAAGGATCATAAATTTCCTAAAACTAAGTTTGGGAAGGAAATGCGGCAATTTTTTCCTGATTGGTTTAATGGTCGTAAGTGGTTGGAGTATAGCATAACAAAAGATGCTGCATTTTGTTTGTGTTGCTACTTGTTTAAAAATGAATGTGAAAGTTGTGGATATGTGGTTGATGCTGCTTTCACAAAGACTGGCTATAGAGCTTGGAACAAAGCTACTGAAAGATTTAGAGCTCATGTTGGAGATATAAATAGCATCCACAACAAGTGTTTCAATAAGATGCTTGATTTGATGAATCAATCACAGTCAATACGCATTTCCTTTGATAAAAAGTCCAAGAAAGAAAAAAGTGAGTCTCGGCGTCGCTTGAGTGCTTCAGTTGATGTGACAAGATTTCTCTTGAAATTAGGATTATCATTCCATGGACATGATGAGAGTCGATCTTCTTCAAATAGAGGTATTTTTCTTGAACTTTTGCAATGGTATGGAGATATTAATGAAGATGTTGGAAGCATTATTTTAGAAAAAGCTCCAAAAAATGAAATGATGTGTTCTCCAAGTATTCAAAAGGATATTGTTGATTCTTGTGCTAAGAAAACAATCAAATCTATTCTTGAAGATTTAGATGGGGATTATTTTGGGATACTAGTCGATGAATCAAAGGATGTATCACACAAGGAGCAAATGACACTTGTTTTGAGATATGTTAACAAAGAAGGAGAAGTGATAGAGCGATTTTGTTGGTATTATTCATGTTAGTGATACATCTGCTTGTTCATTAAAGGAAGCAATATACTTTTTTCTTTCAGATCACTCATTAAGTCCATCCCAAATACGTGGGCAAGGTTATGATGGAGCTAGCAATATGCAAGGACATCTAAATGGTCTTAAAACTTTGATTTTGAATGACACTCCATCGGCATATTACATTCACTATTTTGCCCACCAATTGCAGTTAACACTAGTGGCTCTTGCAAAGAAGGATTCAAATGTAGATGACTTTTTTTGTTTAGTTACTAATGTGTTAAATATTGTTGGAGCATCTTTTAAGCGCAGGGATTTACTTCGGAAACACCAAGCTGAACAGTTAGAGGAGTTGCTTATATCAGGGGAAGTGCATATTGGGCGAGGATTAAATCAAGAACGTGGGCTTCAACGGCCAGGTGATACTCATTGGGGTTCTCATTATAGAACATTAGATAATCTTATTGTTCTATTTCCATCAGTTATTCATGTGCTTGAATTTACTGGATGTGAGTGTCCAAACTATACTGATAGACTTCTTGCTAAAACTCTTGTGGATGCGATTAAGAAATATGATTTTGCCTTTATGCTGCACTTGATGTGGAAAATTCTTATGATGACAAATGAATTGAACTCCTCATTACAAAGGATGGATCAAAATATTGTCAATGCTATGGGATTTCTTGCTCTTACAAAGCAAAGATTACAAAATATGAGGGATAATGAATTCGAATCATTAATGGATGATGTCTCTTCTTTTTATGATAAACATGATATAGTCATTCCGGAGATGGATGCTAGCTACTTTCCTGGGAAGTCAAAGCGTAAAGCTCTTGATGTTACATATTCTCATCATTTACGTGTTGAAATATTTTATGTTGTTATTGATTTGCATCTTCAAGAGCTTAATAATCGTTTTGATGCTGTGAGTATTGACTTACTTCTCGGTATGGCTAGTTTGAATCCAGTTAATTCATTTGGTAGTTTGATAAGGGCAAGATAATGAGGTTGGCTGAATATTATATGAATGAGTTTGACATCAACAAGCTTCGGGATCTCAATTTTCAGCTTGATAGCTTTATAGTTTATGTTCGTGGTTCTGACAAGAGGTTCTTCAACTTGAAGGGAATTAGTGATCTTGCTAAAGTATTGGTCAAGTCAGATTTGCATCAAATTTGGCCACTTGTTTATTTGCTTATCAAGTTGACTCTCATTCTTCCTGTTGCTCTGCTTTTGTGGAACGAGCTTTCTCATCCATGAAGTACATTAAAAATGAACTTCATAATAGTATTGGTGATGAATTTTTGAATGGTTGCTTAGTTTGCTATGTAGAGCGTAAGATATTCACAAATGTAAGCAATGATGCTATTATTTATCGTTTTCAACATATGAAAAGTCATCAAGCAAAATTATGACTTTAAGACTAGAAGTCTCTTTTTGTAATGATAATATTACTAGTAGGTCATTGTGACTTATAACTAGTGGTTGTTTTTTATGATGATAATATTAATCGTTGTTTTATTTTTTTTACTTTTTTTTATTAAAGAGTTTGAGTTAGTATACGCTTACACTATGTGATTGCTAACATGTTTATGTTAAAGGAAGTGAGCACCCATAACCTTTAAATCCTGGATCCGCCACTGGCCACATTCCCTTAGGACTGCACGAAACAAGTCAAACTCAGAGTGATTCCACCAACCAAATGACTTGATAACGCGAAAATGAGAAGCCCTAATCAAACCGAAGAAAAGACGAAGAGAGTGGTTAGCGATGAAATTATTTTTAAGAAACCGAAAATCAAACAATATGTTGAACTTAAAATATTTAGAAAGTATATCAGAAGAATTGATTGACTCTAAATTTAATCAGTTACATAAATTGAAACAAAATAAGTAATATATATTGAACTCATGCTAATATCTAGTCTAGTATAAATTGAGAAGCTCAAGAGACTATATTGTTCCATGTCATTGGTATTAGTCTTTGGAAGATTTCTTAAAGCAATAACTTTAAAGGACTCCAATTCACTCTGTCTCAATGCTATTATTTGTGCTTGTTCTACTACTTTTCCCGTTATAATAATTCGAGAAAGGCTCTTTTTTTTTTTATACAAGAATAGTTGTTATAGTGAAGCTATTTGAATCTCGATATTTTCTTATGTTTACCTTTGCTTCAAAGAGTTTTTCACGTTAAAATTTGATGTTCTTTATTTTCTCATTTTTATTTTTTTTGTATTTGTCCACGTTTGCCTTTTGTCACAGCACCAATTTATATCTATAAATCCAACAAAAATATTAGATATACATTTATTTTGCATATTTTTTTCCTGTTAATCTTCTATAATCTATATCCAATAAAAAATATGTAATCATTAATATTCTATCTAACTCCACAAATTCAGGTACCGAATACTATGGATCATAAAAAAGTAAACTCAAGTCAAATATCATTTTCATAACATCAAATTTATTGATACACAAATTATATCTATCTCATTTTCTTCCTCTATACAATTTACCTAATTTCGATTCAAACAACCTTAATTATCTCTCTTTAATGGCAATTCTTCCATTGCTGGTTCTAAATCTTCGACCTTAATTTTTTTTTTAAAAAGGTGGATTAATTAACCAGCAATGGAAGAGCCACAATCAACACCATCACCACCACCACCACCAACTCCACCCACAACTCCTTTATCCCTCGTAAAGCCTTCCTCGAAAAATAATAAAAAACGTCCCGTAAAAATCTTTAGAGCCTTTCGTAATGTGTTCCGGTCTTTCCCTATTATTACACCCGTATGTAAACTCCCTTCTCTCCCCGGTGGCCGTTTACCCGAAACTAAAGTCGGTGTATCCGGCACGTTGTTTGGGTATAGAAAAGGTCGTGTTAGCCTTTCCATTCAAGAAAATCCAGGAACTCTGCCTACTCTGGTAATTGACCTAGCCATGCAAACAAACACCTTGCAAAAGGAAATGAGCCTTGGGATGGTGCGAATCGCATTGGAATGCGAGAAAAGACCTGACAATATAAATAATAAGGAGAAAATGAAACTTCTAGATGAGCCATGTTGGACTATGTTTGTAAATGGGAAAAAAAGTGGATATTGTGCAAAGAGAGATGCCACGGAAGAAGATCTCCATCTTATGGAGGTACTTAAGGCGGTGTCGATGGGGGCAGGCGTCCTGCCCCCAAAGCCCGACGTGGACGATGAAATGGCGTATATGAGGGCACATTTTGAAAGAGTAGTGGGATCAAAAGACTCAGAAACTTTATATATGTTGAGCCCGGATGGAAAAAGTGAACCTGAATTGAGTATTTTCTTTGTGAGGATATGAATATACAGTTATTGTAAAATGACTTGTTAGTGTTGTAGATATATTAATTTGTATCTTTGTAGGTGGGGAAATTATTGATGAATTTGGTGTACAGATTTAAAGCATTGAAAGGTTCTTAGGATTATCTAATTTTAGATTATTATTTTTCTACAATTTTCATGTTTTGGTTTGTTGATCAATACTTATTCATTTAAATTTTGATGATTTTTGTTTGTTAGGACTTTATAACCTCCAAATTGTTAATTCTTCCTTTTTTTTAAGGTTAGAGCCATATCAATTCTTTTCACGAAGTCTGCTTCCACAGTTGCTTGAGCGACAACTAGAATTAGATTGAGTGCGCACTAAATTCAAGGTATGTACTTGTAGGTTTATGTTTTGGTAAGTTGAAAAGGCATTGGAGTTTCGATTAATCTGAATTTGTGCCATATAAGGTTCATTCAAGGGAAAGTGCCCTAATAGGATATTTTTTTATCCTAGCTCGCATCCAAAGATGAATCAATCTTATCCATCCTACGATGTGAATATATATAAAACCTTTTTTTTCTTGTTTATGTGGTGTTTCTACTCAAAGGCATACTTTTTTGTATTGGCACAAGGACAAGTTAGGCTTGGCATTTGCATATTTATGCATATTTTTCAACTGGGAAGAGGCTTTCATCATATCTATAAATGTCATTAATCAAACTCTGTTCGGGAATCCATCAATGTAAACTCCATTTTCTACAATGCGCGATAGTTTATTTCATCAAACTCCTCGAGTTTTGGAAGATATCTTATTACTCTTGTACTAGGATTCCAAATTGCAACGAGGTATGTCACCGTGCAACAAAACAAACTATTATATGCTTGGAGAAGTAGAGATGATCACTGAAATTATGAAAGGTAGCTTTTCCTCCTTCCTTTCCATCTATAGGGTAGATATCCCCATTTTGCAAAGAAACAACTTGTTTCCACTTGTACCACATTGATGTATATAATATTCACGAAATTAAAGCTGATTATGATATTAGAGAATTATAAAATTTGAAAACGCATTAAAGACTTGTCAGGAAGTCATGAAAATGTTTCGAAAATTATTTCTTGAGGAATAAAAACGTAATGCTCTAGTAGTATTGTTCTTTACCATACTGGCAGCCTGCACATATTGGCTTTTCCATCATGACATAATTATGTTTAGAGTAGCTAACGTAACTCAACCACATATGTCATAAGCTAAGTCTGCAGTCATGTTCTTCTTTGATATAATATTGACTTTTCCATCATGTCACTATATTTAGAGCAGCTAATGTAAGTCAACCGCATATGTCATAAGTCTACAATCTCGTTCTTTCTTGTCTTGTTTATATATGGGGATTCTGTAGATATTACATATGCGAAATTCAATCTTCGCTCCTTCATCACTGTCTCTTCCTATTCTTATATCTTGCGGACTAACAGAACAAAATGACCCAAAGATATCACCACTACTACAATCTTACCGATGTAAGTTATCAGTAATTTTATGTCATCGGCCGTCACCACCTCATAACTTCCCTTGTACTCAGACAAATTTTGCAACTTCTCTTTGTCACCTGTCAAATAGCTTAGCTTGAGCATCCCAGAGTTAAGAATCTAGTCATTCTAATAGTCAATTTGTTTAGAGATTGTTACTGCAAGAGCTAACTCTTCTTGTTTTACAACAAAGAGTGCTTTGACATCCCAGTCATCTTCACTATTTTACTTTGGATCAGAGGTGGCAACAACATTTCTTTTAACAAGCTTTTGCTTGAACCAACAAACATTCGCTTTATGGCCCTACTTTCCACAGTTGTGGCACTTCCCTTCAAACCTCTTGTCGTTGTCCCCTAGACGAGAGCTTCTTTCTCCTTGTTGACTCATCAATATCTTTTTTTCTTGGATCCATCAGTGTTGTACTGCTTAGAGTTTCCTATGCTTTTGTTGACATAGAGTGTCTCCTCCCCGCCTTTTAGAGAAACTCCGTTCATTTGCTTTGACATGACTTCTTGGCCAACAAACACATTCTCAAACTCAACAAGTGATGGTTAATTTGACAATCCCTGTACTGTAGTAACAAATCTTTTACATTTAGATCTGCAACAATGAATGATTATTCTTTTCGTCCCGGTTTATCTGATTGGAGCTGTTGACTTTAATTTTGAAGTTTCACGACATATCGACTTTACCTTGTGAAAGTATTTCACAATGTTCATATCACATTGAGCCATCGACAATACCCCACTTTCTAAAAGTTATAGTCATGTATCATTCTTCATTGAAAATAGTCCAAGCAACATGTCCCAAGCTTCCTTTAGAGTTCCAGCATCTCATATATGTCCCAAAACGTCATCTTCTATGGTGTTTATGAGGAAAAAATAATTTTTTCCCAACTTCAATCTTCCATTTTTTCCATGTGACATTCGGTTCTTCTTCTCCTATTTTGACTTTGCTTCCATTAACGACCTCCCAAATATCTTGATCTTCCATGTAGGAAACCGTATACCATGTCATATATGATTTGTAGCTCTGATGATTGAGTTTTTTAACTCCACCCTTGGCTTGAAGATTAATCAATGATTCTGTGAAATAATTTCTCTCTTTTTAAACCAACTCTGATCCTAAATTTGTAGAACCAAAGGACTAATATAATGTATATTAACCTTAAAATGAAGGGAGGAAGATTTCCTCATAAATCTACCTGATAAACAAAGAAGATAGCAATCACTTTTAGGATTTACATATAACTCTCTTTGAATCTTGTGATCATTTTAGGTGAATATGAAGCAATGATATCTAGAATTGTATTCGCCACATATTCATCCATCAATGTGGAAACACAATAACCAACAAGGTTTGTGGTGGGAAGATGAATAGAATTCGTTCGAGACTTGACTATGAAACAAATTCTGTTGGGAAGCATTTTTCTTTAAATGAGTCTTACATAGCGTGACAACAAATTTGTCGAGGCCAATACAAGTAACAAATATCGGGTGTAACAAAAAAGAAGAAGAAAGAATTGCAATATTTTCACGTTCTAATAATGTATTGCATAAAAAACTAGGAATAATACATAAACATGACCATTAACTTGACGTTACTGAACAACTATGACCTTTAACTTTGGGTGTGCACAAGTAGACACTTAAACTTGTATAAAATTGAACAACTAGACAAGTTCATCCTCCTTTTACCGAAAGAATAAATAATATAGTCGTGCGCCCCATTGAAGTACAAGAAAACACATAGATAAAGCGATAATTGAAGTACAAGAAACCACATATGACCAAAGGCATAATTTCCTCCTTTTTTTTATATATATAAAAAAAAAAACTAATTAGTTACTCTTGCTCTGACTTGATTTCAGGGTAATTCTGAGCAACATTGTGGTCCGCGGGGTTTTCAACTATGGAACCACCATTGTATCCGATTACAATGGTGCATGAAAATGTTTTCAAAGAGATATAAGATTTGACATAAAAACAGGTTGGTTATTAAGGTAAATGAATAATTTCGGATGTCGAGAGACCATTTCCACTTGTATTTTGTTATAAACTAAAACACTCTTCCACAATGATTAAGACATGTCTCTACTAAGATTTGAACAGACCAAAGCAGAGGAATTCTAAAAAATTTACTCATTTCACTTTCAAAATCCCCTAATCTATTCAGAGCAACATCCCCCTTTTTTCAATCAATGAAGGGGGAATACTTACCACTATATGATTTCGGGAGGAAAGCATGGGTTCATGTGAACCCAGTGACCCCCTCCTGCATATGCCTCTGAAACTCGCCATTTGATAGATGTCATTATTTTTTGTTGTACCCAACTGTCGCAAGCTCTATATAGCCCTATGAATTGTAATGTACACAATATGTATTGCTAAAACAGAGGCCATCTGCTGCGCCAAAACAGAACACAAGTGATGCAATCATCTAATTTGTTGAGTGTTAACCACATCAGAGCTCAAATATGGATTACTTGCTTCGGATTTTCACAACACCAAACATATCTACATGATCTGGTATCACATCCTCCATAGTTCAACATCTAACGACTACTCAAATATTCATGAAGAGCAGAGTAAGACATGAATAAGGAGACAAAAATATAAACTACTCCATAAGCAAAAGTCAAGCACTATTGCATATTCTTTCAACTGGAAAGAGCCTTTCATCATAAATCCAACTATTTTTTAAAAGCCCTTGGATTTTAAAAAATTTCCATGTCTTTTCCGTGACATTGTAACAGAAACAGATGAGTTTGCATGACCCGGAACGTTTGGTAAATAAAATCTCTCCATCAGAAGAGGTTGGTCGTTCTGGTCTTGTCCATTGTTGTGGTGGAATTTGAATTTGAATGAAATGTTCCTCCCATTCTTCTTTTCCACAGATCCATATGGTCTACGAAAAACAAAAGCTTCTCATTCAGAATTGCCATTCACTTTTAACATGTTATAATAACTCCCAACTATCATGTGGAATTCCACAATCTGATGACTCTGAATTTTTCACTTTTAACCTCAAACGCCATTACAAATAGTTTGTCCTCATCATATAGATAACTCCACTAACGCAAACTGGGTTCTTCTTATTAATTGGCAGAGTAAAATTAGTATTACTTTTAATCTCTCTCCATGATTCGTCTATACCTAAAGTAAAAACCCAATTTCTCAAGCTTTTTATGTCCATTAAATGTTATCAACACTATTCTTCTGGATCAAAACCCATTGAATAGGAATAACACCTTGCATAGAAATTCTCAAGATACTCATTTTTCAAGCCGGGAAGAGATCTAACAGCTTTCGTACTAGGATTGCAAATTACAACGCGATCTATGTGGTCAATCGAGCAGCAAAACAAACCATTAACGCACCACCCTATTGGGTCGTACAAGAGCTTTTCACAAAAATTATCAATATGAAGAGGGGACACTTTTCCTTCTTCCATTGCTTCTATAGTCTCTACAGTGTATAACTCTGAATTTTGACGCACAATGAATTTGATTTCA